TGATACACCTACATGGTGGCATGAAATTGTCTTAAATATGTAAGAGAACAAGTATAGCTAACCCGCAAAAAAAACAAGTATGCTCTATTCATTTGCACTATTTCATACGTCACTATATATATATATCACATTGGTGAAGAATATTTTAAACGTCACTATATATATCACATTGGTGAAGAATACGCCTAGATGTAACTACATGTCCCTACAAACTCTAAGCTCCTAGAAAATGGAAGCTCTAGGTGCATCCAGGCTCTATTTGGTGCTCGTAGCCCCGAGTGTAAGTGGCTAGTTGCGGGACGCGTTGCTGCCAGGTGGCCCCTTCATTGGCCATTTATTTTTCCTCATTTTGTATGTGGGTTCGCCATCCTCACATGAACCCAAAGACCGTACCCCATATTCTGGGCATCTCTTCTTCTACTTCTGAGCGCCTCTATGCTAGGGTTTGCGGCCTCCATCCCAACTTTGGGGCGCACCACACATTCCCTCCATGGGCACTCATCGTTGCCTATTGTTTCCCTCATCCAAATATGTGACCCACCAGGGTTTTGCTTGTACATTACATATGCACTAACTAGGAAGGGGATGATGCCTCGTGGCTCTTCTCGGTCTATTGCGTGAACATTTTTTTAAGACGATTATGGTGTTGCCAACTATGCTAGTTCTTTCAAAGGTAGCAAGAAGTTCCTTTTAAAAAATGGCAGCAAGAAGTTATGCTCAGTTTATTAGGTTCTTGTGGTGGAATCAACCCACTGATTCAAGTCCTAGACTTAGTATGGGTGTGTCTCTATGGGCAAGGTTAGTGTATGTGTGTATTTGCGAGCGTTTTTTAATGCATCAAGAAGATTTTTTGTGTGTGAATTCAATCTTCAGGCTCTCTGTCTCGGTGTCTTCGGTGGACGTTTGTGTAAATGTGTTTTTGATATTGAGTGAATTTAGTATATGTACATGTTTTTAGGGAGAACATTGGGACGTACACATTTTCGTATTGCATGCCTTCATAGTCATTCAGTCCCACCACTATTAGCAAATTTGGAGTGTCCAACCTTTTGCGGCACAAAATGCTCACACACAACATGTTTTCTTGTGACCGTGCAACATTTTCCTTTGCGCCTGATAAACATCATGAAAAAAAATTCACGACACCAAAATATGCGCATGCAACAGTAAAAGTTATGTATGCAACAAATGGCCCATTTGCTGCAACAAAAAAGTTGAAAAATGATTCACAGCATATGTTAGATCCTTTGCAATCGACGTGTCCAACACAACAAGAATATTATATACAATGATGCAAAAAATATCTTTAAAATTTGAACACAATCCTTTGCAGTCGATACCCAAAATCATTCTGTCAAGACCATATATAAGTTTGTGACATGTTAAAACAATAAGCAATATGTGTAATGTCAAAATTCCGACTCACTAATCTTCAACTATAAACATAGTGGGATATCGACCTCTTTGTGTCTGATTCATTGATGAAGAATTTGGCTCGTTGGAGCCGTTTGTCCCTAGATTTGGCAAGGTTTGATGAAAGAGGAGGTGCCAGGTAGGGGTGAAACCGGATCGAATGCGAATGGATAATGCTTATCTCGCATTCTATTTCATATTTATTTTTGGATTCAAAAACAAGATGGATGTGGATTCAAATGCCGGATTCGGACATAGTACAGGAACGGAATGGACTCAGATCGAAACATTCATATACCACATGCATGTATGGGGAATTTATAAATGCTTCAAACTAAAGTTACACATAAACAACAAGCAATTATTAATAATTATAAACTTTAAGCACATGTAAATTACTAGAAGGTACTAAAACAAGCCAAATAAAACACCGATAGACATATGTCTCTTCTCATCAGCAAAGATAGCATTCAGATATTGCTAGTCAATATGCCTACAAGTTTGTCCATACATCATCCTAACTACTTTTACCCTTTGTGTGAGAGGAAATTGCACAAACAACCAACTGTTGGGGTCAATTTTGCACAGAACACCTACTATTCAGGCTCAGAAAACACCACATGTTGGCATAATCTGTTACGGCTAACTCTAATCCACCATTTGATTCTATTAACATTATTCTTGACAGATAAGTCACGCTTGTAAGTACACACGTGGCAACAACAAAAAAAAGGTCACACTAGTTGGCTGACTAAATCAGCTAATGTCTCACAAACCAGCGGTCAGCCAAATTTTTTCAGATCACTACTGTACATGGATGATTTACTGAAATTCTTTGCAATCTCTAGAAAATGTTGATCTTTGAACAAAGTTTTTTTTTTGAATGAACCAACTAAGTTGTCACTATCTCCCAAGTCTGTGATCTAAATAAGCTGGAGTTTTGCTAGATCCATATATGATTTACTTGTTTTTTTTTTAAACATGAAAAGAAAATTGAATGTTCAAACGAAACTGATGTGGCCATTTTTTGTTGTTATAGGTGCGCATGTACAAGTAGGCACCACTCACCATGGTAAAAGGAAAAAAGACTAACGACGCTCCGCACTTCTTGGCCCCCAACATGCACGAGTTAACAGCGACCTAGGGTAACAGGCCTGCTGGGCCAAGCCCGGCCAGAAGTACGTCACGACCGCTTTTTGCCTCGGCAGGCCAGCATAGCTAGTGCTAGCCTGCGATACATGCTTCATCGTCTCGTTATTTAGGCAGCGAAGTGGCTAGCCGAACGAGCGGTGTGGTACTAAATTTAAATACTGTCGTTATGTTTGATTAGGACACCCCGGCAATCTATCTTTTATCTCTGTAAACATTGTTGCAGTTTAATAAAGCTTCGCGAGATTGCCTAAAAAAACTAAATTTAAATACTAGTAGCACGCAGCGCCGTCAAGTGTGCTCGTCTTCGGCCCGCCGGCTAAGCTGTTCGATTGTCAGTGACGAGCAGGCAGCCAAGAACTAAGGATGCAACCCGCGACGGCACACGCCCCTGTTCGCGTGACACCAGCGGTGAACCGGGCTAGGGGCCACCCTCGTGCGCGCGTCCCCAGTACCGGACCCTTCGCCTGGCTCAGCCGCCTTGAGACACCGGCCACGTTGAAGACTTGAAGTGAAGTGATCTAGTCGTCGAAGTGGAGCAGGAAGTTTCCGTGCCATTTTCCACCAAGGCACCCACCCACTCACCATGAGGCATTTCGTCGTGCAAATCTCAGCTCGGGAACTGAACGAATCTTAAAAGGTATGCTACTGTAAAACTGAGTTGCGTACGTATCCGGAAGGACAATGCTCGATTCAGACTCAAGTAATAAGTAGGTACACATGCGCCCATCCTTTCATCGGCATCTATGTACATGTATTTCTATGACAAAACCGGTTGAACCCCAGAAGGAATGGAACGACTCAAACCTCAAGAGAGGGAAAAAAAGCGCCAAAGAAAGAAGAAGAAGAAAACGAGGGGCAAGAGGAAACAGAGAGATTTGGCTGGCCCTTCAAGTCTGGCCATCATTTGGTCCGCCCAATCCTCAGCATTTGTTGTGTATGGGATCGGAGCCTCTCCGGACTCGCCGCTTGCTCATCCGGTCCGCGTCGAACACCGTCGGAGGCGGAGAAGAGCCGGCCGCCGCCACGGGCTTCCCGGAGGCGTCCAGGCTGGCGGCGGGGGCGCCATTGCCGCCAGCCTCGACGAGCCTCCGCGGTTGGTCGACACCGCGGCTGCTTGTTGGGGCGAGAAGGACGCCCGGGGTCCTGGCCGCGAGGACCGCCGGACGACCGGTGGCGGCCGAGAGGGCGAGGAGGACAAGGATCGCCAGTGCAAGGCTGGGGACTCTCATCATGATGTCCTGGCTAGTGTGTGTGTGAGAGAGAGTTGTGACACCCAAGGTGGCTTAGCTTCGCCTGGCTGGCGGCGCACAAGTTTTATGGGGGCAGTGGAGGAAGCTTGGAGCCTTGGACCATGTTATTGCGTGTGTTTGTTGTTGTAGATATAGGAGAGTATCCCCGTAGGGTCACATCTGAAACAGCGACGGGTAAGATCTTGGTCCAAAGGCATAAATTAAAGCTCAAAGAGAGGGAGATACGATGTGCATTGGACACACACACCCAACAAGGCAACATATGGCTTTACACTTGCTTGCATCTAAATCCCGTATTGGCCGTATACATACATACAGCCTGCTAAAATCTAGTGGGGGCGAATCAGGCGCCTAGGTATCTTCCGTAATGCAGGGTTTTCCGCAGTAATCCACATCACAGAAAAGAGAAAGGCGAGGGACCGTGAGCGTGACCACGAAAGAAAGAAAAAGCAGAGGTTTTTGTGTCGAGGGCGCTACTAAATACAGTATGGTCCTGCCAGGTGGAAAACAAAAATGCTCTCTACTGGTACTAGCCTTGGAGCCTGGGAGCTGTAGAGTGGAGACCATCTTCTTCTCGTCTTTGTTGTTTTTCCTTTGGATCGCAGATCACAGGCTCGTTGCTTTCGCCTTTGTGTACTTTGGAAGCTTCTCTGTGAAGCAAGGAGGAGCACGGCTCCCCATGCATGTGTGCCAGAAACAAGAGAGGCATCCCCTGCTTTGGCTTGCTGTGCTAGCCGAAGCTCCCGCTGGCCGCCGCTTTATGTTATGTTCCCTCCACTCTTCTTTGGCCGCGCTGCTGCTGCTGCCTTGGATTGAGTGGGGCCAGTCCAAAACCCAAAGCCCCCGTTCAAAGATCCAAAGCCTCACGCTGTTGCCGCTGGTAGCGACATTCCATTCCCCTTTCGCTTTCTCTTTCCGAAATCCCTCGGTTTAACTTAAAGCGCGCCCCCAAAGAGCGCCATTTCCGTGTGAAATGGTAACATTCCTCATTCATTCACCACCCACGTCCTTACCCGTTCCGTGGGTTTTTGTTCGGTTACAGACTAGCACATGGCATCATCTTGGTACGACTAGTAACGCACAAGGTTTCAATGAAAACTTCCGACTGATCAAAAATCCACGAGGAGGTCATCAGATTACATTGCAGAACTGGGAATGGGAACAAACTTCAAGGGGTACAGTACATCAAACGCTTGCGTCTTCCAGCGACAAGGCTACCGGAATTGTCTCCGCGCCTCTTCTGATTGTCAGGGTCACCGTGTCTCCAACGCCGTAGTCGTCTAGAACCCTCAGGAGGTCAGATTTGCCCTTGATCTGCTCCAGAAGAGACCATGCGAATGAGAGGAGGCGAGAGGGTAATAAGCCTGTCTAAATCATATAAACATCTAATGAATGCAACTTGATCAGCAAGCACTCACCGGCTTGCCATCCACTGCAACAATGACATCACCCAGAATAATATTGCCGGCAAAACCCCTGCCCGTAGGAACTAGGCCTGCTTTTTCTACTGCGCTGCCCGGGGGAACCTGCAGTGGAACACAAGTTATGGCATCAGGGGTTATTTCTGTTTCGGTTTGGCCAACGGAGCAGAGATAGGTAGCAACAGTTCAGTTTACCTTCAGTATAAGGGCACCATCACGGACGTTAAGCTGATACGCAATCGGATCTGGTGCGAATTCCACATTCAGGCCAGCACGACGAACCTTAAATAAAAGGTAAGCATAACTTAGACCAATATAAAGTACAGAAACTAAATACGAGTGTCAGCAATGAACAAATAACCAAATGGTAACATGGTTTAACTTTGCTCATTTCATACTGTAGATTTTATTGGGAAATACCTGCAAGGAATGGGAGAATACATGCATAGTGCAAGTTTTTTTATCCAATGAAAGTATAGTGATCTCTGACAAATGTTTTTCTACTATTTGTAGAACCAAAAAGGCTAAACAGTTTCCTCCTAGTGCAATAACTTTGTATAAAAATCTGGGATTGTTTAACGCATTTATTCACAACCATGCGTGGACAACTGAAACATACACAAGTATAGGCAAGCATGGGAAGAAGGAAAAAGATTACTGATAAATAACTCTCAGCTTCAGGGTGATGTTTGTTGAATAAATGTTATACTTCTCTACACATATGTCATCACCATAAGATGACAAATGATTCTAAGGGAATGGTTACAAAAATGATATTAAGTTCATGATGTGGCTTTAAGATGTCAAAGCAGCATACCTTTCCAGACTGAATTAACTGAGGGACTATTTTGAGTATAGTTGATGATTGGATAGCGAAACCAACACCTGCGGACGTGCCTGCAACATTAAAGAAATAATGGCATCTCAGACTAACTTAGAAACTACATTGATCGGTAGAAAAGGATAAATGGATGTAGTTCAATCTGAGATATGCACTGCCAAGTCAACACAATGAAGTCAATTCATTGGCTGATATTGGGCTTGAGAAGAAGTAACCAACAGTATATATATCAGTTGATTACTAGGCGAAAAGCTACTTAATAAAAACACCTGACCTCTAGGATGAAAGCATATAGCAAGGTAGATGAATGCTATGCGAAAAGAAAAGAAAAATGAATCTTAGTCATGATATTACCCCCGATCACCTCATCACAAACAAAAGTCATCCCAAAAATGCCATCACCGATAAAAGTCAGTACAATGAGCAGAGTAACTTAGAAAATGACACTGAAATACAGCAAGTAGGTAAGATAACCACTAGTTAAGAACTTAAGATCATGATAGTTAACAGCGATTGTGCTTTTACTAATCTTAGACATACTCTTTTTATCTTTTAAATGGTAACACGCATAGCGACTGAGGTATAGCTCAGCTATAAAAAGCAGAGAAATATGCTAACATCTCAAAATGAATGAAACTACTTTCTAATTTATGGATTAATAGAGCCAATCATGATCTCCCAGTGCATTTTTGAATAGGAGATGTCAAAATGGAAGTAACCTAACCTGTCTGTGTGAAAATTGCTGTGTTAATACCAATCATGTGCCCTTTCGAATCTAGCAAAGGACCACCGCTGCATCGAGGTTCATCAGACTGTATGGTTAGTAAAATGCTTTGTAATTCATTTTTAGCTAAAGAAATCAGATTGGCTCATATTTAATTAATTGACAGGTTAACTAAAGTAAAGGTGCTACAGATATAAGCCACCAGTTTCAGTGAATGGTCCATTTCGAGAGTAAGAGCAATCGAGTTCACCGTCCCATTGGCCATAGCACAGGTAATAGTGAATCACTTGTATAAAGTGGTTGAGCTTATATCTTGAATGTGGTAGGATACTAGGATAGACTATACAACATCAAGCATATAGTAATTGTTCAATGAGTGGGTTTCACAAAGAATTAAATACATTTAAGTTAGTTAAGCAAACAATTTGGATGCTATGTGCTAAGTTCCAGACTATTATGCTATATGATCACTATGCCAACTACCATAGCTGGAATTTAACTCCATGTTTATGTGTCCTGTCTTATGAACTCTGATACTAATCACTTACAAAAGAACAAGATTAATACTAGTTTTGTCTGTGTACCAACATAGACCTTCCATTTTTTGCAATTTGGCATTTAGTAATGTGGTACTGAATAAGAAATATAAACACCATAATTGTCAAGTTAGGTGAAACCAGTAACACATGCCTAGGAATGTCTAACTGTAAGTGACAGATAATGAAATATAAAGATGTGCCAGTCTTCAAAGAAGTACCACTAGCAGTAGTTTCTACTTTCTACGTAAATTCTGAAATCAGAAATGTCGGGGCCTCCCCTACAATTTTCAGTTCCAAAAAGTTCTGGAATCTGAAATGCAAAATTTGCTATGAATTGCTCCTGAAATAATTATACGAAATTTGGTGATTATACCATCTCCACAAACCTGTTCCCAGGGTTAATAGCTGCATCTGTTTGAATCCCACCTCCAATTGTCACTCCAGCTTGACTAAATATATCTCGATTCAAACCACTGATAACACCAACAGTCAGAGTATGGTCAAAACCAAAAGGATTTCCAATTGCTAAGCATTGCTGACCAACTTTTAGAGCTGAGGACTGTCCCACAATAATTGGCTTCAAGATATCTGAAGGGGCGTCCACCTATGACATATGTACATATCAATATATGACATTCACAAAGAGAAAATGTTCAGTGAGATGTTTTCCAAAGCGAACTATAGAAACAATTTAAGCAACATACTCCCTCCGTCCCAAAATTCTTATCTTAGATTTGTCTACATACGGATGTATCTATTCACGTTTTAGTGTTAGATACATCCGTATCTAGATAAATCTAAGACAAGAATTTCGGACCGAGGGAGTACATAACTATGATTAACTAAAGATGAACTCAGGTGAATATCACGAAACTGGCACTGGACATGCTTGAGAACTCATTTGTGACTGCCTTCTTTTGTACTAACAAAATTAAACATTCTAGCCCTTGCAATGCGCGTCCATGAACCAGATGGAGATAGGGCGAGCACAATGTTAGCAGGTTCACATGATCATCTCGGCGCTCTAAAATACCATGTTGACATTCCCAATATAGAGGAAACGACAAGACATACAGAACGGCGTGTAATCTCAGTCTCTAATATGACTCAGTGATCCTTAAAGAAACAAGATAAACTAATTGCATGCCATCTATTTAGCTCGAAGGGGAAATAGGAAATCGAGGAACAGAAAACTAATTTAATCGACAAGGAGACATGGTGAAAGTAGAAGTCATTAAGTCTCCACCGACCACCCCCAGTCCCTCCCATTTTGAAGTTTGCTCAGTCTCTTTTTTAGCTTTATGTGGCATGAGTATATAAAATTCCATTTACATAGTTAATTTTAGAATTACTAATATCAACAATAGTTCTCTATATAAGAGCATTATCATTTTTAATTAAACCCTGACCCTTGTTCAGAACAATTAGTCAGAAGAAACTTTTACCTTAAGGACAGCAAGATCTTTAGCGCGATCTGCACCAATCAATATTCCTTCGAAATTTTTCTGTATCCTTTCAAGCAGATATAGGAGAGTATTTATGTTGATTGGCACGCATACACAAGGAATAATAATGCCCCATCAAATTTCATGGAAATTGTACTAGCAAGTGTAGTTATATAAGAATTTACCCTTCGGCAGCAAGAATGTTGACACGTGCAACAACTTCACCAAGCTTTGGATTTTTCGAAAGAGCATTGCCAACCACTACAATCATACCAACATTGCGAACACATGCATGTATCAAAAGTAAATTCAGTGTATTGTGTACAATGGAAAAGAGTCAAGCACGGTAACGTAGGCATGAGAGGAGTAGGTTGTGCTGTTCATATATGGTAGACATATAATATATAGTCATGTGATTGACATACCATGATAATTTGTAACAATATGTCCAGACTCATCCCAAACAACTCCAGAACCATTTCCTTCTGGGATCTACAATGAATGTTAAAAACATTTTCTTTCAAACAAGAGCTTCTTGCATCTTTTGAAAAGTGTCATTTAGAAAGTACATACGCAAAAGATATCAAAGAATGATTCAGCAATATTAGCCTAACTTTAGCACAATCAAACTATTCGATGGAGAAAATGTGTAGAGTACCCAGCGTATCATATTCTAGTGCTTCTAGGAGCATACGACACCCTTGGTCTATATTCAAGCATGTGTTTAGTTTACCTCAACAACACCTGTTACATTGAGCTGGGGACGCAGTGTCGCATCGAAAATGTTGACAACTGAGTAAGTATTTGTTTCAAAAAGCTCTGCGATCCGTTTCTGTCACACAGGCAGCAAAATTCAAAGAAATGTAAATATGTTTTGAGAACAAGTAAATAGGACAAGGTTTATTCAACAGAGTACTGAGTAGCGACCTCGGTTGGAAACAATGGACCAGATGGAAATATCTTTGGAGTTACATCCTCAATTTTGACGGTTGGATCACCCAAAGCAAGTGCTGTAATAATAATAAGAACATAGCAAGTTATAGAAAGTTGAGACACAATAAACTAACACTGTTACAGGAGTAAAATAATCTGGTACATAAAAAGACGTAGGATTAATTTCTATTAACACCTAATTACCATGTCACCTAGTCCGAACCTGATAAGTACCTTGAAGAATGTAGGCAAAGGCAAAAGGCCGAAAATGCAAGAATCTTCCTCTTTGACGCAAACAGCAGTGTTGTGCTTGAGATTTCAGAAGGTTCACATGCTTCCCTTAGCCTGGACGAAAATTCACACACATATTAGCAGTTGCGTTGTTTATTAGAAGATCAGCTCAAGTATACTGTTTATTAGAAGCTACAGACAGTGATAATTTGTCGGGAAAAAAACTCTGAGTTATGATACGGAATATGAATGGGATTATCTAATCTGACTGCACGATTGTGCTCTTGACAACAGCGTAGTCCGAAAATTTGCAGAAATGCAGCGAGAGGTGCGCTGACCTCGGAGGCGTTCCTTCCACGTTGCGGTCTGCGGAGGCGACGCAGTCGACAACCACCCTCCGGCGGCCGAAGCGCTTTCCGGGAGCACGAGCGGCGGCCGCTGCAGCGGGCGCGGCGCAGGCGAGGCAGTGCATCCGAGAAACGGGGGGAGTCTGTAGTCCGAGCCAAGCGTGTGGCGTGGTAGACTTCAGGCCATGACGATATGTGGGGAATTTGCGGTTGGAGAGAGGACGATGTTTCACATTCAAGTCCACGACGTATGTTGTTATTGCACATCTGGATGCATCACGCAAGGGAGTGTGCGGTTCCTCTCCGCTCATCTAACTCCGCTCTCGGAGCGGACGAGACTGCAACTCACGTTGACGGAGCTGCCAAAACCGAGCTCCACAACTCCACGGAGTGGAGAGATTCCAAACAGGGTCAAGGTCAACTAAATTATAAGTTTAACTCTCTCTACTTTTCACGAAAAGGATCAAATCTATTATAAACTTTACCGGAAGTACAAAGCATCTTAAACATAATAAAAATCACATCAAGATTTCGAGAAATACGCGTCGATGTCGCCGCTCCCCTACCGGAGTCGGCTTGACCTTGTCGATGACAGTCGGAAATTCTAAGTTTGTCTCGGTTCCATACTTCCATATTTATATTTGCGAGATAATTACACGTTGAATTTCCTCGAAATAAGGTTACAACTTGAAGCACATCCTGTTTTTTTTTCTTGTCATTTGTTTTGACGCTTTCGTCCATGCCGCCCTTCCCTTTGTTCTATCACGCCTTGATTCTCACTCACTCATGTTTGACCATATAAGGCATGTATTTACTCAGATATGTCTCTAACAATGGAATGATTGATATTTCTTAATCCAGCATCACAACTGTAAGTGCATCTAGTGTCATTCCTAATTGGTTTTGAAGTATTGACGACAAACGTGGTTGAGGGACTAATGTGTTTGTGAGAATTACAGGATAACACAGGTAGTAGTCCCTCATTGACTAGGTTTACCTACCAGAGTGTTGGGAAATGCAGTAATTTCAAAAAAAATCCTACGGTCACGCAAGATCTATCTAGGAGAATCATAGCAATGAGCGGGGAGAGTGTGTCCACGTACCCTCATAGACCGAAAGCGGAAGCGTTTTATCAACGCGGTTGATGTAGTCGTACGTCTTCACGATCCGACCGATCCTAGCACCGAACGTACGGCACCTCCGTGTTCAGCACACGTTCAGCTCGATGACGTCCCTCGTACTCTTGATCCAGTTGAGGCCGAGGGAGAGTTCCGTCAGCACGACAGCGTGGCGACGGTGATGATGAAGTTACCGGCGCAGGGCTTCGCCTAAGCACTACGACGATATGATCGAGGTGTGAAACTGTGGAGACGGGCACCACACACGGCTAAAAGATCAACTTTTGTGTTCTAGGGTGCCCCCTTCCCACGTATATAAAGGAGGGAGGGAGGAGGAGGCCGGCCAAGGATGGCGCGCCCAAGGGAGGGAGTCCTTCTCCAAGTAGGATCCCCCCTTTCCTATTCCCACAAGGAGAAGGGGGAAGGAGGAGGAGGAGAGAAGGAAAGGGGGCCCGCCCCCCAACCCTATTCCAATTCGGTCTGGGCTAGGGGGAGCGTGCGCCACTCCTTGGCCCGCCTCCTCTCTTCCACTACTAGGACCATGAGGCCCAATAA